ACATAAAAATAATAATAAAAATAAAATATTCCGACGAACTGATATCCTCCTCCTTTTTTGGAAGTTGGTTAAAAAAGGGCAATCAAATCCATTCTTAACCGACTTCAAAAAAGAGAGGTTATCAATTCGTCAGAATATTTATTTTATGTATGTTATCGCATAACTTTGGACTACGTTAACCGATTTCTATAAGTTTTTTTTTTTTAAGGAAAGGAGGTACCTAAGAGGTGGTCCCATAAATTTGGCTTAGATCCTATCATTAGATCATGAAAAAATAATAATAATAATTACAAAAGCTACCTTCAAATGACCACGAACCTGACGTGATGGAGGCTAACGGACCTCGGATTCGCAATCAGCATGTCGAATAACATAGGGATATATAGGTTTGGTTTAATATGCACACACTTTTTTTTTTTGTAAACCTGTGTAATAGATTGGCGCTTACACATATGTTAGTGTTTGGCCGAGCTTCACCTCCGACTTGTGGCGTGCGCCTTGATGTTGTCACACAAAGCGGAGGGACCTACAGTTTTACGCCGACTCCGAACGGCGATTGTATTTTTATGAGAAGCTGTTTTTCATGGCAGAAATACACTCGAAGATTTGCCATTAGGTGCGTTCGTTTAAAATCTCCAGTTAAAACCAACCAATTGCCAAACTCCGGCGAAATGTCATTTGTTCTCTCACAAGAGAAAAATGTCCCAAATAGTACGCGAACAGAAAATTTGCCGAAACTTGCAAGTTAGACGAACAGCTGATTGAAATTTTGTTTACATTCAAAAGTGTAAAATTTAAAACGTACGAAAAGTCATCACAAAGTGTTATACTGACACAGTTTATTGATTAAACAAATAACTACTTATTTCTTACAAGTTTAATTAGTCGCATTTTGTGATTTTTAACTTCCAAACCATCAAATTCAATTTTATGATTTGCGTAAATGTCAACCAGCTGTTTTTGATCCTGTTGGCAAATTGCTGTTGGCAAAAATTTTTCCAGCAGAAACCAGCAGCTTCCCCTCAAAATGAAATGTCAATTTGCTCTCTCAATTTCCCCTACTCGCGTACGCAAAAACTTGTAAGTTTTGGTTAAATATGAACAATTAACAGCTACGCGAACGCAACTATTGCCTGCCGAGGGGCAACCGCTGTTAAGTAAAAACGTTTTTTCTAAATTTTTTTGCGATGTTGCCATGACAACTGGTAGCAGTTACTAACTCAATGTTTATACACGTGATACCACCATTTATAAAAATTTGTGTTTGGGCATCGACCTGTATGAAGCGGCCACAGTGTACACCGGCAGAAAGTAATTTAAAAAATTTCATAAAATCTTTTCTTTTATAAGCATTGCTTCCAGTCTCGTTTTGAACTCATTCGCCGAACTAACTATTTACGTGAAGAAACTTCAAAATTTGCAATTGAAATTTCTGCTTTGTAAAAAAAAGTTTAAACAAAGTCCTAGTATCTATACCAATGTCCAGATCGCCTAATCGTTCCAATCGTTGTTGCCAAACTCTACTAACGGTCTGGCTGGAAAAAGTGTCATTTAATCTGCTACAGATCGTAATTGTACAACGATAACACGGACCTCTCGGGCCTGCCCTGTAACGGGTAGTGGTTCAACTCCGGCTGCGACATTCACAAGGTGAAATTTAATATAAATTGAAGTAGCATCAGTTCTGTCACAACCTTTTGTCTAGGGTAGGGACTTTTCGGCTGGCCAAAGTTTACTTAAGCTAGAAAGGTGTGTTACGGGTCTGCAGGTTCTATTCTCACTTTTTCTGATTATGTTCCCGGGATCTACCTGGCCACGATGGTCACGCTCTTTTGCTAGTACAGCTGACTAAGTCGGAAATCGGGGCGAATTGTTCATGCTACCAATTATCCGATCGTCTATCTGGGCAGGTGGCAGGGGTATGTATGTATATGTATATATGTAAATACAATGAACATAGAGAAGTACCATAATGTCTACATCGAAAAGGCGATGCTGCACGACCTCGTTGCATCCGACGCAACTCTTTTATCGCAGCTATGAAGACCTTACTTAAAAGTCCGCTGTAGTTCAGTTGGAGTTCTGCTGCAGTTAGGCCCTCATATGGAGATTGGAGCAGGTGGAAGATTGTATAAAGAAGAAGGAAGGGAGGGTTGTGTTGTTCAGCTAAACTCCGCAGAGGGCACCAGCGCCTTGCCCGAGTTGTTAGCCGTGGAGATTGTGAGTACCGTTTGACTCGGGCAGCCTTTTCCACCTAACTAAAGTTGGGTTTAAATGATGGGAAAGAGTACATGGTGCGAGTTGCCTTACCGCGAGCTCTAGCTCAGGGAACGAACAACGATTGGTAAGAACAGGCATTGGTAAGTCTCGAATAAATCAGGTGGGACAGGCTTTCGTGGGAGTGTGTTCGAATATACATGGAGTACTCTTTGCTGTGAAAGTCTGTTTTTCCGGGTGACCACCTATTAATCCTTTTTCCAAAAATTAAACTTCCAAAGCGTGCCCCCAACTAAAATAGTGCAAATATTTAGCTTTCAAAAATTTTAGTTTGCTCGTGTTGCACTGCAAATCTATTTACTTTGATGAAGATACTACCTAATCAATTTATTTGCGAATTTATGCGAATTAATAAACAAAATATCGATTATCGAAATTTCAAAACTGCTTTCGAAAGTCACTTCTCAAGCATAATCTGACTGCACCTGCAATAATTTTCCGAAATTGTTGAGCTTAACAGACTTTTCGAAATAGCTTTATTTGCATTGCCAGGTCTGACTGGACTGTGAACTTGACAGATTTTTCAATATAACTTCAATTGCCACATTTAGCAGCACTTTTAGAAAGGTAAAGTGGAAGATTTAACGAACTTACTTCTCAACTCCTCTGAACGCTTCCGGTTCAATTGTAGTAATTTTGTTCTCATACAATGTAAGTATCTCCAATGTGTCCAAGCCCTCGAAAGCATTATTGTGGATAACGCTAATTTTGTTATGATTCAAATTTAGGATCAACAAATGGAAGAGATGCTTTAATGCAGCTGATGGCACCGTTTTCATTTGATTTAGCGAAACATCCAACTGCGTGAGTCCATTACCTGTAATGACAATTTTCAAATTAGTGAACTGGATGGTTTTTTTCGGTCTTCGAAAAAGATGCATACCCAATGAGCTGAGCGCATTCTCTTCTATGGCAGCCAAACTGCTATTGTGAATTGTTAAATGGCGGATATCCAATGCCAAGAAAACAAAGCCTTGCAATTTGGGAAGGTTGTTGTGGCGCAATTTCAAATAGAATATGATGGGACTCTGGCCTTTCAGAGTACCCATTGATTTTGTTATATGTGCCAAGTCGGTTGTTTCACACAAAATGTCCAATCCGTTTTTCTTCAACGTGCAAACACAAGGTGCTATATCATTTTGTTCCGGACAAACTTGTTGCTGCGGCAGATTTTGAGCGCCAATATGCTGCAAACCATATACAAGCGCCAAGAGTACAATCGCCCTGCCATAGCCAAGGCTACTGGTAACGAAATGCATTTTGCTTGACCTCTCCACAGCCATTTTACACTATCACTGTTTACCGCTATTCTATCCACTCGATCTCGCCGCTTACGTGTTCCTCTATTTCGATTCTGGTCTAACGTTCGTCGAACCAACTGCCAGCAGCTAATTTACTCACTCCTATTGTACGCCTGTAAATTAAAAGCGGAGGAGATTATTATCAACCAAACAAATATATGTACATACATATGTATATGTATAGATATAATGTAAGTATGAAAGACATCAATCAGAGAAAAATCATAGCGAAATTATATACATACATATCGTCGTTTAAAGTACAAAACCGCGTATCGTCATTCTGCAAAGCCGCGTAAGAGCTTAAACAGACGGCAGCGTTGATCCGGATCAACTCGGGAATTAACTGCAGTTGATCCGGATTAAGTCCCAGTTAATCCCGATCAACGCTGCCGTCTCTTTAAGCTTTAACCGACATTTGCTGTCAAAAATTGGATTTGCTCACACAAGCTCTTGGCTCAATCCTTATCCATTCGTCCTGAAATATACTAGCCAGAAATACGATTGCTTTATAAAAAAGAGAACCATTTTGAAATGCGAGTGTTCTTACTCTCTAGAAAATAATTTATGCAACCTCACATACGCGGTTTTGCATTTTGTTGATACGTCGTTAGGTACTTCATATGTATGTATGTATATTAGGGTGGTCCAAAAAAAGTAAAGTAGGAATTTTAATGCTATATATAGAAAAAAACACCCCTATTATTTAATCAAAAATTATTAGAGGTCGCTCAAAAGTGTGATAACATCAAGGCGCACGTCACAAATCGGAGCAGAAGCTCGGCCAAACACTTATTTACATATGTGTAAGCGCCAATCTATTATTATTATTATATTATAAAGAGTTAAAAGATTTTTTATTGAAAGTCTTGAAAAATATTTTTTTATTTTTGTTTTGAAAGGTTATAAACCAGAAACTAATATTATTTCATTTTACATGCGCAAAAGTGTACAAAGGAAACATCGACAGTCGCCATCAACCATCTATGTTTAGCAAAAATGCAAAAACATCGATGCATCGATAGTGCCACGATGTTTTCTCCACCTCTATTTTATAGTCTACTTTTTAAACCAGTCAATAGTTTTAAGCAATTTTTAATATATTCTGGTTTAAATTTTAGTCTAGCAGCCGAGAAAATGATGTTTTCCTATTTTTGGTTTAAAAATCAAACCAAAATACTTTAATTTTAGTTTCTAGGTTTCATCTTTAGAAAATTTTGTTTAAAATCTAAACTGGAATAGAAAATGTTTGCCTCAATATGCCTTATTTTATATGTCTCTCAGAGAGAGAGAGAGAGAGCAAATCTTATGAACTGACGGCATCAACACAGCGAAATGTGGTGTTGATTCAAACCAAGGCATAACAAGGTAGAAGTGATTTCGACATTTCTCTCTTTTGAACTGCGACTAAAATGTCAACTCTTAACCCTAAACTATTCAAAATTTTAATTTTTTTAATATAAATTTTCAATTGTGCGCTGTGCGACTGATTTTAAATACATAATAAAATGAAAAGGAATTACGGGCGGCATGTTGTGTTTGACAAGAGCCAGGACAACAAACTTGTGCGTTATTTTAAAACTGCGAAGTATCAATGCTTCATTAGGAGACTCTTCACGAGTGCGCGAAGACCATTTTAGTGCCAGTGACTTTATTTGTTGCCCATCGCAGCCGGGCAGGAATTATTATACCGAATATGAAGAGAAAATCTTCCACTCATATACATAGATAGACCAAATTTCAAATGGTGGTCTAACAAAACCTAAACCGGAATTCCTTGTTGACATAAATACTTTTAATAACTTAACTTTTAATAAATTAAATGGAAAGAAAATTTCGAATTGCGAAAATTTAATAGCTGAATTATTGAAGTTAAGTTCTGATGTAAATACCTTTTAAAATGTCTAATATACTTTACAATTAAGTATTTGAATAAAAAAAAATAAATGCTTAAAAATATTAGGCTAGTAAAAGCAAGAAAATTGCCAAAATGGGTTTATAAATGAGTGTGTTTCACTTAGTGTGTAATTTTATGTGCATTTATATTATTTGCATTTCCACATTTACATTGGCCCGCAATTATAGTCAAAATAAAGTCGACTCTAAAGTTAAAAGCCGCTTTTTTTGACAGATATACCATTGAAAGTTATGTCAAAAAGCTGCTTTTAACTTTAGGAGTCGACTTTATTTTGACTATAGCTATGGGCCGTTGAGTTTTATCAAATATGGTAAATGCATAACAAAGGGTTAATTTCTTTGTTTATATTTTTTGACATTACAGTCAGCTATGAGAGAGCTCGACTGAATTGTCACTTCTACCTCGTTGAATATGCCTTGATTCACACTCAACATATGAAAGGACATTTACATGCATGGCTGTAGCTGAGTGAGCAAAGATGCTTGATACAATTGGTTGCTACCAAAGGTAGCCCGGGTTCAATCCCCATCAGACGGAGCTGAAATTTAAGATTTTATTTTTTTATTCTTAATTATGAAAATGTTTGCGTTCAAAATTATCACCGAACAGTTTAAATTCTAAACCCAACATATGTGCTCTCTCTTTTTAAAACTTGGAAGGTTTGTATTTGAAGCTGAATTCAGTTTGGTCATATATCGATGGCTGAGTGGAAGATCGACCTATCTCGGCTGCCAGTTCGAAAACGTTCTATCTCAAAAAACTTTTCAAGAACGCCCTTTTTCAGAATTTTATTGAAAAACACCTTATCTCAAAATTCGGTTCAAAAACGCCCTATCGCACTTCAAAATGTATTGAAAATATGCTGACATAGGGCGTTTTTGAATCGGCAGCTGAGATAGGGCGTTTTTGAAACGAATTTTGAAATAGGACGTTCTTGAAAAGTTTTTTGAGATAGAATGTTTTCGAACTGGCTGCCGAGATAGGTCGATCTTCCACTCAGCCATCGATATGTAGTCCAAAAGTTTAAAATTTAAACCGAAATTTTTAACCGTGTAATGCAAATATTTATGCACATAGCCAGAAATATTTATATCATCAGAGTGCATTGATGCATACACACATTGTCACACAGTAGTTTAAAATTTTCATATTATGTCGTTCTGCATAAAGTCAGATTCAACTAAATTAAATAAAATAATCCCACAAAGCCTGTTATATTAACAACAATACTACAGTACAATGCAATAAAAATATGTACAAAACTATTCACTAAGCATGAGCTTAATCATGACGGCAGCAAATAAATTGTGTGAATATATATGTATGCATGTATGTATGTATACATGTGTTATGTACATATCAATCAAATCTCACGAGTTGTTTTTTATTTTTTGTCACTCCCTTCTCTCGGCAGACAAAAATTGCTAAAGCATTCTTTTTGCATTTATTTCAATCAATCGAGTTCCAAAAATAAGTAAAATAAAACGTAAATCAAGTATTTGAACAATTTTATCCTTAAAACGTTTATTTAGGTGAGAAAGTACCGAAATTACTAATTTTTTCATTTTCACTCGAAAAAATAATAATTGTTCTTTTTTATAATAACTTTGCGTTTTCAAATAGAATGTTCATACCGATGGCTGAGTGGAAGATCGACCTATCTCAGCAGCAAGTCCGAAAACGCCCTATCTTAGAAAATTTGTCAGCAACGCCCTATTTAGTTCATCAACCAAGTTCTGAGGTAAGGTTTTTTTCCTAAAAATTCTGAAATAGTGCGTTCTTGAAAAGATTTCTGAGATAGGGCGTTCTCGAACTGACTGCCGAGATAGGTCGATCTTCTACTCAGACATCGATATTTTTCGAGATAGGGCGTCCTCGAACAGACTGCCGAGATAGGTCGATCTTCTACTCAGCCATCGATATGTATTAAAGGAAATGAGTAAAATATGACGATGGTTTGAGAAACTAAAATTCCATTTTTAAGAACTTTTATTGGAAAATTCGAAAATCAATTGTTAAATACATGAATAAAGTACTTAAACATATGTGCATTACGAATAATGCGTAAAAATCCCCCACGCCAATATTTTATTACTTTTAAATAATATGGCTTTTAAGTTAAGGCGTGCGAGTAAACGTGTTATATGACTGCGTATGGTGCAACGGGGCGTATACGCTACATACGCAAGTACGGGTATATGAGCACCAATGGTTATTTTTTTACTTTTTTTCTGTATGTATATATTTTCGAAATTTTCATTCAAATATAATTTCGAGTTGGAATCTTGATCTGAAGACACTGCATTTTATAAGAAAAATGTAACAACTATTGAGATTGCTCATATACCCTTGCGGAACTGTGGAAATCTATGTACTTATTATTATTATTCTTATTATTATTAAATAAATAAATAACAGCGGCCACGTGAAGTATACCAACCAAGCAAATTTCGCCAAGTCACGGGTATTTGAAAAAAAGTAATTATATTTCTTGTGTTGGGATATAAATATCTTGAAATATGCTGGTCCAAGTTATTGACAGTTATATTTTAAAGTATGATATAATTTAAAAATGAATTTTATCCAGCCTACAACCATGTTAAAAAAATTTTAAGGTAAAACCGCTGAGAGGCAGCAAATTTTCAATCTCACAAATATGTACATTCTCACTTTCGGTCATGGTACAATAATTACTGGCATTGTGTTATATGGCTTTGCTTTTTGTTTACGCTCAATTTCATTTTTATAGTTTTTCAAAACAAAAGAAAAAAACTTTGAAATGAAGTGAGCCATATAAATTTTGAATTTATTTACCAAGCTTTTTTCGGCTTTTACAAATTAAATAAGTCCTCTGCAAGAAGGTTTGTTTAAGAAATACGCTCTCTAGGAAGACAATACCTGTACCATGACGTTCAGTGTAAAATAAAAGAAAATTTGAATATTTTCATCTATTTGTTTTTTTGTTTTACTTTTATTTGGCATTTGAGTTGCTCTGAAAATTTCAATTTTATCAAGTAGACAAACTTCAAAAAATAAATGGTGGCCGACAAATTGAGCGAGCGGTTTTACCTTTGAATATTTGTATCCTATGGCCTACAACATGTAGATAGTTAGGGTAACCACATTTTCAGATGCCCAGACTACAAGATTCAAAAACAGAATTTTTAATTTTCACTTTTGTTGGTTTTTCTTTTA